TCAAGAAGGAAATATAGGCCAGACAAAAGACGCGCATTGTTATGTTTTTTTAGACTTTTCACTTTTACATACCAACCAAACCACATTTTAAAAACCTACTTTGAAAGTCGTTTTACCAAAATAAAAGACTTTTGAGGTATAAAAGATATCTCTATTCCCTCCTATTTTTTTGTTTGCCGCCTTTGAATCCTCCTCCCCAGTCGCAAATAAAATAGCTGTTGCATTCGGGATCCAAGAATTGACGAGATTGGGCTACAAAATTTCTGTATAACAGCAATAACTAGCCTTAAAGTTATGCCCCATAGACTCCCCTTGGGCCGGCCCTTTACAATTTATCATATCTAACCCATATAAATAATGAAACTCAATGTAATCTACATATATTAAATCATTTCTATATTTCTCCAGGAAGTAGGTTTTGGTTGGGGAATTAATTATGTGATGATGATGTCAGGATTTATAAGTGGCAACGAGAGAGTGCTTTGGGGAGAATTCTTGGTTATATTTGGGTCGACTTTCTTTGGTGGTTTTCTTTATACTGCATTATATCAAACCAGTCCCTCGTTCGGATATTATCTTTGCAATACAAAATGGCAGGTATGGTATGGCTACCATGTCATGCTTTTTGTTTAAATAATTAAATCCCAAGGTTTGGTTTCTGATGATGCAACACAAAAGGTATTATTGCTTCTTGGTGCCTTCGACACTTCCGGTGCTTGTGGTTGTTGTATAATTGTACTGACTTAGGGCATCCACAATGCATTGAACTACATAGAGTTCACGGGATTGTCACATCATCATTTTACAATCCATACAACTCTATTATATTTTTCTCTACAGTGCATTAAACTCTACAAAGTTCAATAGAATGTTACAAAATATAATTTATAGTAAATATTTAAGAATTAAAACTTTCTTTTTTCCCATTGAAGAAATCAATGGCCATTAAACTCCAAATCCATTAAATGTAAATGTAGCATCTCACAATGGTTGAGTTTCATCCATTGAATGATACATAGACTTGCCACCTCATTCAACTCTTCCATTAAACTCACCATTATGAATGCTCTTAGCATGAAGATGTTCAAGCATGCATGACTATTGACCTACTCAAATTTCCCATGATACTGCCTTACTATTTACTAATGTCAATTGTCTAAGAGTAGGTTTATTTTAAATGCCTTAATATTTACTAATGTCAATTGTCTAAGAGTAGGTTTATTTTAAATGTTTGGATCTTGTAGCTGAAATCCAAGATAATTGATGTATAAGGATGTAGTCAATAATTTTGTAAACACCATTATTTAAGATAAGGTCATGGTCATGTGCCTTGCACATGATAGGTATTTAGGGACAAGATATTGCCAGAAAAAGAAGGCACTAGGCAGGAGAGTTTAAACGTTTAAACGTGAGAAGTCATCTACCCAAGGATGTGAAAATTACTGTTTGCATATTGAAAAACAATTGGTTGATAAATAGTTTGGGCGTTTGGCAATAAAATCGAATGATACTACTTTAAAGGATTGGCAGATATCAATACTTTGAATGCACAATCTATATATTAGCCCTGTAATGTTAAATTAAAGGGACCTTTGACGCTTGCTTGTTTGTACGTAGATGCACAAAGATGTATTATCTTAAAAACTCAATACCAACCCCAAACCCGACTTGTTGCAATCCAAATTGAAACACAACTGCATGCAAAATCTAATGCTAAAGATGGCAAAACAAAGCAAAATGAGTTGGCTTATGTTATGTGAGTCAAAATAATACAAGCCATGTTTGGGATTTGCTTATTTAACGCCGACAAAAAACTATAGGTTGATAAATAAATAAAAATTTTAGTGTTTGTATTAATTTATATACATTAAATGACAAAGAAAGATATGTTTGAAGAAAAATCAATGGCGTGAACTCGTATTCAAGAATGGAGGGTGGAACTGTGGAAGATTTGTATAAAGATGATTGGTTTATTTAGTGGGGTATTATAGTCGTTTTATCTAAATAAGTTAGACAAATTTTCATAATTGGTCCCTGTGGTTTACATAATATCGCACTTTGAGGACTTCCTAGCAAAAAGTCACGCATTGGTCCTTGTGGTTTGTAAAATTATGTGAAAGGTCCTAATGCCGTTAAATCTAACTTTTCATCTGTTAGATGTTAATGAAAAAAACTATTTTGCCATTGTACCAATATTACAATACACTACAAACCTCAAGGACCATTTGTGTATTTATATATATATATATATATATATATATATATATATATATATATATATATATATATATATATATATATATATATTCAACAATTAGATAACTTTTTTTATCTTTTTTTCATTTTATTTTTTATTCTTATTTTATAATTTTATTTATTTATGGTTTTTTAATGTTTTTAATTATTTTGATTCAAGTAAATAAACCTAAATTCGATAAACCACATCGAAATGTTTTTTTCTTAATTGTGAAGTGAAATATTGATGTTTTTTTTTAATTTATGTTGTTACGGTTTTTTTTTACTTTGATGTTCCATAGTTAGTATCGTTAGCAACATTATGTTTGCATTTATCATTATCATTATTTCACCTTTTGTTTTGTATTTTTTTATATTTTCTTATTCATTATTTATTTATTGTTTTTATTTATTTCAAATAATGAAAAATAGAAAAACAAAAAAACAAAAACTCAAACACCAAAGTTGTAATATACTCTAATATATTAAAACATTTTACACTTTTCATATATTTTGGTTTTTTTGCATTTTTTTATTAATTTTTTCATATTATTTTATTAATTTTTTTCATACTGTTTTTTACTTTTTTACTTTTTTTGTTGATTCGTTTTATTTTCATCAATTTGATAAAAAAAAAGAACTTTTTTTAAAAGTGTAAAATGTATGAATATATTAGAGTATATTACAGTTTTGGTGTTTGATTTTTTTTTTTTTTCATTTTTGTTTAAATAATTTTGGTTATTTATGGTTTTTGTAACTTTTTTTTTAGTTTGATTTGTGTAAATAAAAAAATTATGTTTATTTTCTTTATTTATATTTGTAAATATAACTATTTTATTTACGCGAATCAAAATTTAAAAAAAAAAAAATTACAAAAACCATAAATAACCAAAATTATAAAAAAAAATAGAAAACCAAAAAAACTTAAACATCAAAATTGTAATATACTCTAATTAAAATTATAACAAATATAGATGAAATAAGATAATGATAAGTGCAAACATAAAATTGCTAACGAGATTAACTATGGAGCATCCAAGTAAAAAAATGAACCGTAACGGCATTAAAAAAAACAAAACAAAATAATAATAATAATAATAAATTAATGCTTCAATTCACAAATAAGAAAAATTAAAGAAAAAATAATTTCCATATTTGACTTTTTAGCAAATACTTTTTTTAATTTGTTAGACTTTTTGAAAAACTAATAAGTTTCAAAACTTAATCACAAACACCATTAAATTGTAATTCTACTTATTTATTTTCCATATTTGACATGTCAATAATAAAATTATAATTTTGATATATCCATATAGGTGAGGCGTTTAATAGTTAAAACACAAACACATTAACAGAGAGAGTCGCTATTTCAATTGTCTAATGCTAGAAATGTGTAAATGCAAACTTCCTGACACCAACCAAGGTATTAGACAATTGAAATAGGAAAATGATATAAAAGTCATTCTAATTAAGGATGAATTCTATAAAAAAAAAAAATCATTGCTGGTTTTTTCAACATGGACACCGAAAGAGAAGGTGATATGATTTAAAAAAAAAACACACAATATGGTCCTATGACTATAATCGTAAAACTAGGTTCTATATCAACATGTGTCTGATTACCCAAGTTCCAACCCAAAATAACTCATATAAACAGAATTTTAAATAGATAATTTCTAAAGCAAATGGTTTAAAACACACATAAATTAAATAAAACATTACCGCTGATGCTGAATATTACGCATTCTCTTTACGTCATTTCGTTATCTTTTCGTAATCCCCGTCTTTCAGACGAATATTATTTCTTAATCAATAAATTGTGCATCGAGACCTTAACACTTAACAGCTTCAGCAGTTGCTGCAATAACATCCTTATTTATCAATACAAACTTCCCTGCAACTTTTCCAACACTTCGAATATTTTAATGATGTCATCTTCTTCAACAGATCTTGACTTGCATTTGTTTATACCAAAACACCAGACAAATTATCCATAAGAAATCTAATGTTAATGAAGTCTCTAAGCTTATGGGTATGAGATCTTCTACACTAATAGACACCACTTGTTCAAGAAATAGCAATGTACTTTCATTTAGTGTAAGCAGTTCATGAGCTAGAAATAGCAATGTCTTTCTTGTTTTTAGATATAGCGCTAGATGCATGAATTAGCAACCTATTTGTTTACTTTTTTTATTATGGCAGCCTCCTAGTTTCTTGCATTGTAATTTTTAGCTTTTTCAAAGTAGGATGTTGTTACACTTCTTAGTAGCTCTAAGGGAAATAAGTAGAAGTGCCAGGTATGTAATAAAAGATTAGAGAAGGGGCAATTTGATAACTCTCCTAGTTGGCTCGATTTAGCTTAGCTTAAACATAAGTTTAGGTTGGTCAGTCATCTATCTTTGACATATTGAGTAGAAGTCGCCCTTCTGGGGAGACTTGGCCTCTCAAAAGCCAAGAAAACCTTGTAATCATCTCTTTTGATTCAATCATATAGAAATGAGTCTATCAATTCTGGCAATTCTACCTTAATGCTTATCAGATGCCATGATGAGAAAAAGTCAAAGTAAGATCAATTATAGCAATAATAAATTGCTTTGTATTTGGATTATGTTGTTATACCATGGTAGATTTTTCAAAATAAGATACTATAATAGAAAAAAAAAAATGAAAGTAGGATATGTTATAATACACAGATAAATGAATGTAAGTTATCACTTCTTGCATATAAACTTTTATATGGAACACCTTAAGCTATAGATTGATCTATGACATTCAAGACTCTAGGTACTTACCATTAAAACAAAAATACTTTTAGTAGAAAGGTTGCAACTCAACACCAAAATTCCTGGGTCTGTCAACTTGCATTTTAGAAATAAAACATCAGAGTTTTCCTTTTTAAAAACATATCTCTGAAGAACTTTTTACACTTGAACAACTTCAAAGATCGATGAATTAATATCAGGGGTCTACACAAAGATCTGTAACTGCAAAATGATTGTTTTATGTTCCGTTTGTCTGTTGATGTCCCACCTATAATTAAGCAACCAATATAATTTCAAACAATAAATTTAAAATATCATATTTGTAATTTAATCGTAAAACCAGAACAAAATATACTTCTAATCCAACTTCACATGTAAATTTATGAAGAAGCAATCAGGATGTAAAATACCATAACCGAACCTACACTACAAGAATGTCCGATTTATTAGAGCGACAAAAAAAAAAACAAATTATAAAATTATTGACTTTTTTTTTCGGTATCATATTTTTTTCCATTAATTTAATTATTATAACGGTACATCTTGCCAAGAGGACTGTTTGGTGTGGGCCGTTTTCGGTTGCTAAAAAATTCAATATTTAAGGACTAGGGATAAATAAATGGGATTTATTAGAAACGTAGGGCCACTTTATGTTGTTGATCTAGAAATCAAAGTGTGTACTTGAATTGGACAAGTCAATAAATACGAGGACCACTTTTATAAAATATCAGTGAAGTGGACAAGTGGACATAGTTTTCGATTTCTTCGTCCACTAAAAACTAAAAAGCCAGCTGCATCTGATGTTCTGATGTTTGTTTGTACTTTGTAAAATTTGTATCTCTCTCAATCTTACTTCTATAAATTTGTCGTTCGTTACGCGTAACAGTTCCCTGTCTTCTGCTACCACCTTCCATCTTTTCAACGTCTCTCTCCCGGTATGACCTTCTTCTTGATGTATACAAATTATAGATTTATGTTTGCACCCATGAGCATGTTGGGTTTCTGTTTTGATATGAACAAAGATATTCTCGAAAGGGTTTCTTGATTTTCTTGTCACTGAACGTTTTAATGCCATTAGTTCTTTTGACTTTGATGATTTGTGTTGCTGGAAGTTATCAAGAATATTACTAGAAATATGTAATATTATGTGCTTGGAGTGATTGCTTCGAAATTTACTTGTTTATTGGGCTTAATTGATAACATAATTTGAATTAAAGAAAACCCGTTCGGGTTTGTTTGTATATATATATATATATATATATATATATATATATATATATATATATATATATATATATATATATATATATATATCCCCATCAAGATTCGTTTTCATTGATTTGTTTCTTTACTATCTTCGTTTGCCACAATTATGTATTTTCCCATTAGATTAATGGCTTGGTTTTAGGTGTTTGGATGAGTTTAAATGATGAATCTTGAGTCGTTATCATTTAAAATCTTGTTTTGGTCTTGAATTGAGAAACCTTGTATTCGCAGCTAAGGTGTTTGTAGAAATTTCTGTGCAGTAGAGGCTGCAAAGGCGTCTTCTTAATTATAGTGGCTTTGGTGTAGGATCATGGGAAACCTACTGTGTTTGGTTCAAGTAGACCAATCTACTGTTGCTATCAAGGAATCATTTGGGAAATTTGATGATGTTTTGGAGCCTGGATGTCATTGTGTTCCTTGGATATTTGGAAAACAACTAGCTGGTCATCTTTCTCTTAGAGTTCAACAGTTGGATGTAAAGTGTGAGACCAAAACGAAGGTCTTATTCCCTCTCTTCAATACCATAATTCCCCTTATTTTAAAACCATTCAAAATCTTGATATGCTCATGCCTTCACTTATATTTCCTTGTGGGCATTGGGTTTTGATGTCAGCTATCTAGTGGGCCACTGTTGTGTACCTTATTTACATCTCACATGATGTGGTTGCTTGAAGAATAACCTTTTTGTGGAATATATTCGGATCTTGGTTGGTTCCCATTTGTGTAACTGAAATAGTGTCCTTGTTTTCTTTTTTCAGGATAATGTTTTTGTGAATGTTGTGGCTTCAATACAATACCGTGCTCTTGCTGATAAGGCAAGTGATGCCTTCTATAAACTCAGCAACACAAAGACCCAAATCCAGGCTTATGTTTTTGATGGTACAAACCTTCATCAAATTTCAGATAATATATTTTTATATTGTTGTGATTGATTTAATATGGCATGTTCTTGACTTGTAGTCATAAGAGCTTTTGTACCAAAGCACAATTTGGATGATACTTTTGAACAAAAGAACGAAATTGCCAAGGCTGTTGAGCAAGAACTTGAAAAGGTTTTTTAATTTATATATATAGAATTGTCGGTTTTTCATATTTTAATATTGATGAATCCGAATCCTGATTCTTGAATCTTGATTGCAGGCTATGTCTGCGTATGGATACGAGATAGTTCAAACATTGATTGTTGATATAGAACCAGATGAGCATGTAAAGAAAGCAATGAATGAGATCAACGCAGGTAAATTTTTGAACCATAATATATTTGTTGAATGTGTAATGATGTTTATCTCGATAAAATATTGTATACATAACGTCTGTTTCTTTTCTAGACTGAATAAACCATTTCATCCTTACATTTCAAAAAACAAATTTCACAATATCCAATATTCCAAGTGTGACGTCATTTGTCATATACTTTTTTACCATCATTTATCCAGACAACACTTTATTCAGACATACAGTGCTTTATCTACAGCTGCAAGATTTAGGATGGCAGCTACTGAAAAAGCAGAAGCGGAGAAAATTCTTCAAATCAAGAGAGCCGAGGGGGAGGCGGAGTCAAAATATTTGTCGGGATTGGGTATAGCCCGTCAAAGGCAGGCGATTGTGGATGGTTTGAGAGACAGTGTGTTGGGGTTTTCGGTGAATGTTCCAGGAACGACTGCAAAAGATGTTATGGACATGGTTTTAGTGACTCAGTATTTTGACACAATGAAGGACATTGGTGCATCTTCTAAATCATCGGCTGTGTTTATCCCTCATGGACCGGGTGCGGTTCGTGAGGTCGCTAATCAAATACGTGATGGACTTCTTCAGGGTTCCGCCACCACCTAATTATTTGGAACTTTATCGTGCAAGTATATGTATATGGTTTTGTTTCTTGCATTCGTTTGCCTATAGTTTATATGTTTGTTTTGGTTGAGTCTCCATGAAAAAAACAAAATAATATCGGCCGTGGGGTTTGCTTGTTGGGATGTTCGGGAATGGGGTTCATCTTTTTATGAAAATATGAAATAAAAATGCAAGATTTTTGTGTGAATTCATCTAGAAGTTTAATGAGTAGACCATGGTGTCATTAATTTGTTCTAATACATCCCTTGGTTGAACCCAAGTCGTAGATTTGTAATTTAAGCAATATGCTATGCTCATGTTAGTTGGTTCCAAGGTGGTATATCTTTGTATAAACTAGTTTCGAGTTTTGGGGTGTGGAGTTTCAATTCCAATATAGATTGGGCTTTTATGGGATTTGAGCAGTTATGTCGGCCATCTAATGGGTTTTAGACACTTGTTTACCATATCTACATCTTATACAAGGTTATAGGCGCTGAGAGATTAAATTACAATGTGGATGGGTTCCCTTATGAGCATTAGTACCTAATTTACATGTTACATGATATCATGAGGACAAACATCAACATATATTCATACAAATTACCATTTTCATATTGTGGTTTGTAAGGTTTGCAACTTTGTTTTAATATTAACTATACGATTACATAGGTGGACATCATTCATATCAATTTCTCTCAGGCTCGACTTTTTAGCTTTTTTGGATCCTTTTTATCTTGAGGATTCTTTTTCTTCTTCGCCTTTCCACCCTTACCACCAACCTTGTTGCGGTTCTTCGTTTTCTTCTAATCTTTAGCCTTTTTCGTGCCTTTTTCTTGGCCCCCATTCTCACTGCCCTCATGTTTCTCTTTCTTTTCATGTTTTTCCTTTTCGGTTGCCTTGCCATTTTCCCTTCTCTCCCATTCCTTGACTCTATAAGATAAATTTTTACGTTTTTTTTTTTTTTTTGCTATTTTTGTTTTTTAAACATGCTAAAATCCAAAAAGAAGAAAACTAATATATGAGAAATGAATTACTAACATGGGAATCTTTGTGATTTTATTAAGGATGTTCAACCTTTTAAAGTCAAAATGTCTTCGACTAATTTTGACGTTGATAGAAAGTCAACCATAAAAGTTGTGGCCTTGGATATGTCTATACCCCACAAATGTCGCATTACCATTTAAAAGATCATGGCCTACGATAATGATGTGAGCCATTATATTAAAGATATGGAGAAAATAGTGTATGGTTGTTATACATGCCGCGTTACTAAGTTTGAGGTTGATTTGTAACATTCAAATTGAGCGTCTTAAAAGAAATAATCAGGTTTCTTTAAGTTTATCAGGAATTTTCGGTTTTACTATTGACAGAATTTAAGTTCATTTATACTGCAAACTTGCAATTTTTATTTCCGGCTGACATGTCAGCAGGAAGTGTCCACTCATCAAACACGTGGCATGCCACGTATGCGGTTGACCGGTTGAACCTGTTAAAAGGGTAAAACCAAGAAAAATTGCAAGTTTGCGGTATAAATGAACCTAAATTCTGTCAAAGGGTAAAACCGTAAATTCCTAACAAACTTAAGGGTTTTAATTATGACATTATACCTTAAAATTGAACAAATATTTTAAGATAAAAAATAAGAATTCTATGATAAATGTTCATGAAACTATTGGTTGGTTGTTCATCAATAAATTGTTAATTCTAATAAAACAATTTAAAGACTTTTTAGTCAAGTTGACCTGATGAAAATTTGAAAGAAATATGATAGATAACTAATCATTATATGTAAATCGACATAGCATCCGTTCTACTTATGTTTTTAATTCATCAGAACTAATTATCCGCTAAATTTTCATATTTAAATAGAGACTCAAAGAAAATTTCAGACGTGGATTGTATTATTACATCCACATATTTGGAATTGGTAGATCATTCACTTGATTTTAAGTTATTGATGTAAATAACTTTCTTGGTTCACCCATAAGTTTAAAATAATTAAAAGTCAAAAATATTAGTTTTATTTGTTTAAAGAGTTGGATTCAGTCTCCAAAGATTGACCAATGTCTTTGCATGATTTCCTGCCAAATTTCAATTGTTGGTGACTGAGTTATCAAAGTCTTTTAGTACAATTGTGATTGACTCGAGATAAACTGGATTTATCTTTAGCTATAATACCAGTTTGGAGATGCGGAGTGCATGTTCGGATAAACTATAATAAACTTGGAAAAATGAAAGTTGTGGTAGCACCCTTGACAATATTGAATCTAGAAGTTAAACCACACGGTTCATTATTTTAAATGAAAACGATAAAAATAAAAAAACCAAAAAAATAGGCTTTGAAAATCTTGATTTATACATGTATTTTTTGACAAAAACATATATAATCTTTTATATATAAAAATGAAAAGAGTAAATTAAAGTTTTGATCCTTATGGTTTGGTTAGATTCACACTTTCATTCTAAACTTTAAAATTTTGACAAGATGCATCCCTCTAGTTAAAATAAAGTGCATTGTATATCCTTAATCCATTAAAAAAGACCATTTTATCCTTGTTTTTTATTTTTGTTTTTTCATATATATATATATATATATATATATATATATATATATATATATATATATATATATATATATATATAACTGTTTAATTTTTTTATATTTTACCGCTTACATTTTATTTTATTTATTTATATTTTTTAAATTTTATATTTTTTTTGAAAATTTATTCAAAAAGATTTTTTTAATGTTTTTTATATTTTGTTCGCTTACATTTTTTGAAAATTTTTTAATACCTTGTCTAGCTTTTTTTTTTTTATGTTTTGTTAGGATATATTTTTAATGGTGTTTTGATATTTTGGTTTTTTATATTTTTAAAATATTTGAACAAAAATATAAAAAAGTTTGTTACATGTGAGTATGATTAACACATATTCGGTATAAAATTATTTATTTTAATAGGTTGTTGTATATGCTTAACGGAATTCAAAACGAGTGTCAACGGCCTCGAGTTCAATTTTTTTAGTTTTAAAATATTTCACGCCTTTATATTATTTTGAGTTATGTTTTGTTGAACTAGTATATGGAATGTCGTATTTTCACAGTCTACAAGTGATATGGCTTTTGAACTTAGACTAATGGAAGTATGTAATATTGTTTAAAGTTTTGTACTATTAATTATGTGTATGCTAACTGCGATCCAACTTTGGCATCGCAACCTCCACGTTTCCACCGCCGATCGGGGTGTGACAGATTGGTATCAGAGCTAACTAACTATTTTTCTAGGAAAACACAACTATAGTCTAGGGTTTACTCTTTTAGGTTTAGGATATTCCTTAACCTATAAAAATAAATAAAATACATAATCACAACACCAAAATACAGAGTTGTATAAAACTCGAAACCGTGATGAGAACATCTATGTAATAACTAAAAATAACTTAAATTCCAGACTTTAAATCAGATACTCAACTAGGTTTTACAGTACATAGGTCACACCACAACTAAATATAGTTGGTAAATTAAAAGCTTAGAAATTTAAGAAACATATTACATAATCACACATCAAAACACCATGATCACATTTCTAAAATTTTATGATTTATATGTGAATTAAAATAATAACAAGCTTAAAGTTATTTTTCTTTTTATGATGGATGAACTTTGGAGGATGATCGAACCTCCGGCAGAGGAGTCTGTAATTCCCCTTGTACTTGGTGACCCATATTTTCCCGACATACCCATGGAGGACAACCCAATTCCCTTGGACGGGACATGCCACTACCTGCAGAAAGTAGTGGGTCAGAAGAGAATCCTGAGTAGGATTTGGAAGAAGACATGGAAGAGGACCCTGAGGAGGAGCAAGATGAAGACATGGAATCTAAGGAGCACGAATCTATGGGTGATGTGGAGCCAATCAACAATGAGGAATCAGAGGCGACGCCACCCTCCACCCCCAGCCTACCACGTAACCACATAGTGGGAAACGTCTTCACACAAAGAAGACCGTCTAAAATTCTATTCCCATCCGAAGGAAGACTACAAAGAAACTAGGCAGAAGACTCTCTCACCTAATAATCCAAAAACATGTGTCACCACGATAATGTGAGTGGTGATTACGAAGAAAAACTCCAATGATTAGATGCTTGATTACACCATACAACAATATGTTACCCAACCACCAACTACTTATAAAAAGAAAGTATGTTTTTTGTCAAATCATCAAACAATGAACAACTTTTACGAAAAATCGGTTGTAAGAGTATTCTTGTCAATTATATGCATTTAAAGTATGTTATTGTAATAATATTGTTTTTATTTTATTTATTTATGTTATTGAAATAATTACGGTTTTTTATGTATTCTTTATGTATTTATTACAATAAAAATATAGTTTTTTATTGAATAGTGTTGTAAAGGATTGTAAATTATATGCATTCTACGGATAGGGGCATTCTTATCATTAACAATTAAATATATTCATTTGTCTTGTCTTTTTATTCATACCAAACAACATTGATTAATAATTCATTTCACTCCAATAGAACAATGAAACATCAAAATGGAATCATAGTAGTTCACTCCATTACCTTGTCCATTCCATTAACATGTTTGTTCTATTATTTTGTCATTTAATTCCATTCAACCAAACGGCCCTAAATCTTTTAGCATATAATATAAGAGGTTAGAAATCAACAAAGACCATTCTACATTCTGGAACTTCCTAACCAAAGAACTGCAACATGAAATCAAATGTTCCACTTGACTAGAAAGAATTTGGTAGTTTTTAGATTGTAAAAAATATGTTCACTTATAATAGTAACTAGGTGGGGACCCCCGCGTTGCGAGGTTCGGATGCGATAATTTTTTCCGTTACTATTCACTACCAAGATGTGTATCTCCAGAAATAGAAAGCACCTTAAAAACTGCATCACTAACCTCAACAATTACGATCAAAAAAAAAGGAAATATGTGTAATCAAAGTATTACGAATGCACATGGAAAAAAGATGTTCCACCAAAAAAACGAATGTAGAAAGATACAAACGGACACAATTGCAAACAATGAAAGGAAGAACAATTGCATGTAATGCCTTACCTGCAAGTTTGCAAATACATTGCTCTTCTTCCTCTAGGAAAAAACATCCATATAAATCATACACTAAAATGTAACCTTACATTTAAATGATAAACTAAAAGACATCAATTACTTAATCAGTATTCCATATCTGACAATAACCAAGAATTCCAAATAAACTCTCAGATGCGGCATGAACATTACCTACGGTGGCTGTCAGTGCTTGACGATTCTCACGTGTGTCAAAGAATCCCATTTCTTGTAGTTGTGTCAGTTGTGTAGCATACAATTCTTCCGGAGGCACTACTTTTTTATTTTATTTATAAAAAATGAAAAATATATGAGTTTGTTTATTTGTGAGATATGAATGATGATGTTGACAGATTAAATAATAGGTAAATAAGTTAGTTACCATTTGAATTGGTTGGCATTGTGAAGCCACTGGTTCCAAGCCCCCCCCCAAAAGATGTTCATAAGCATATATCCAATCCCATGTTGTCGGGCCCACCTGGTACACCAAAAAACAAAATTATTATAAATATAATAATATTTATTAAGATTTAGTTTGCTACACCAGTTTGACCTATTTCCCTGAATTTAATCAACTTGTATCCACTAAACTAAAGTCTGTACTGTGGCACATTTGAGTGCAGAGCAAATTGGTCTTTCAACAAAATTGAAATATCAACAAAAAAAACATTACATAAGGGTAGTTCAGTCACAAACTATTAATGATAAAAAAGTAATTTTTTATTGATAAAATCAATCAATTTTAATAATTTAAAAAAAATTTGCATTCAATTTGAACATAAAAAAACTCCAAACACTGTCCCATTTTACTGCAATGAGTCATATTTGAGTGCAGGGGCAGACTGGTCTTTCAGCAAAGTTGAAATAAGAACAAAAAAGTTGTACATAGTGGTAGTTTAGTCACAAAACTGTTAACGATAAAAAAATTATATGTATTTATTTTACTGCTAAAATCAGTCAATTCTAACCAAAAAAAGAAAAAAAAAAAAAAAAAAGGATTCGATTTGAACATAAAAAACTGCATAATCTATCCTATTTTACTGCTTTGTGACATATTTGAGTACGGGAGCAGATTGGTCTTTTAGCAAAATTGAAATATAAACAAAAAAAAAAAACTATATATAAGGGTAGTTTAGTCACAAAACTGTTAATGATAAAAAGAATATGTATTTTTTTATTGCTAAAATCAATCAATTTAAAAAAAAAAATTGCATTTAATTTGAACATAAAAAAACTGCACACTATCCCATTTTACTGTACTGTGGCATATTTGAGTGCAGGGGCAAATTGGTCTTTCAACAAAATTGAAATATGAACAAAAAAAATTACATAAGGGCAGTTCAGTCACAAACTATTGATAATAAAAAAAAAAGTTATTTATTATTGATAAAATCAGTTAGTTCTAATAAAAAAAATTGCATTCAATTTGAACATAAAAGAACTGTAAACAATGTCCCATTTTACTGCACTGATGCATATTTGAGTGCAGGGGCAGATTGATCTTTCAACAAAATTTAAATATGAACAAAGAAACTGTACACATGGGTAGTTTAGTCACAAAACTGTTAATGTTAAAAAAAATATGTGTATTTTTTTACTGCTAAAATCGGTCAATTTTAACAAAAAAAAAAATTGCATTCGATTTAAACATAAAAACATGCATACTTGGTCCCATTTTACTGCGCTCTGGCATATTTGAGTACAGAGACAGATTGGTCTTGCAGCAAAACTGAAATATGAACAAATAGATTACAATATATATAAAAAAAAGAAGGGGGAGGGGTAGAGTATGTGTACAGTATGATCTCAATACTCACAAATCACAATCAACAAATTAAAGAGCACACTATCCGGACAATCTCCAAAGAATGTTCTTCAATGCGTATTAGCTCAGCCTGAATATAACAAACAAACAATATGGTAAACTATTTTTGTAAAAGTAATTGAAAATAATAAATCATCTTCCAAATTATACCTCTTTTCCTGCTCATCTCATCTCAAAACAACCTATCATTTGTTAGCCTCAAACTTTGGTGCCGAATGTAAATTAGTTTTTATGGTATTAATTAATTTGTATTTATTTCAAAAAAAATTGAATGGGTTGTGAGGAATGATAGTAAGAGTTTTTATGTCTTTTAAGATGGAAAAGAAGGAATAAAGCAATGACAGAAAAAAAAAAAAAAAAATCTAATTTCACAGTGTGCGTTGTGAGTCGTGAGCCAGGGTGCCCACTCCTATCCATCTTATGGATGCAAAGTCCCAACGTTATTGTTTACATGAACACAATGCATGCTTCTGATTCTCATGCCTAATAACTGTATGTATTTACATACACACTTAAATAATATTTAAAATGGGGCATCACATATTACAATAATACCCTCAGTTAGTAATCTTGACTCGGAAAAAAGGTTTAAAAAATAATCACCAAAGATGGAAATGTCACATACCTTACAATATCCTTAAATTACCAACCTCTACCTCTATCATCTTACTAACCACTTCAACTTGGTGATTACATTACAATTCATAACCGGACATCAATTAACCAAAAAAATTCAAAAAAAAAAAAAAAAAACAACACCACAATATACATCCAACATTCTTTGACACATTTCATCAAACACCTGATGTGCACACAGTATTAACCTTTAAAATAAGGATAAATTGCAATCACAAAAAGATAAAAATCAAGTAGCTGTACCTGTTGTATAATTGCAAGCCATCATTGCTCCTACATATTAAAATCAACACGGTTGCTGACTTGAAATCAGCCTAAACTTGGGCTTCAACCTACTCCCTATCACTGTCTTAAAAATCCTTCAAAAATCAAAACATACTTGTGATAAACATGTAGTGAAGTCTTATAGGTATTCAATCCAACAGTTGGGATATAGAAATATGAAAGAAAATCCATGAAAAAATTACAGTCACAAATCCCTAATTCCTCAATTGACCATCCACATATACCCACAAATAAAATAAATAAATAAGAATCCATAATGTAAACAACGACAAAAGATGAAAACTAATTAAAGAAAAAATCATAAGGTGCAATTTTGGAATCAAAGCAAGAGAAGGAAAGGAAAGAGGAACAATCTTTGCTCAGCGTCGTCGACCGGCTCGTGGTCGACGATTGTGGTCAAGATATTGAGGAAGAACAGGCCTGACCCTCATCCGCCCCGGTGCCGGAGTGGAGAAAGTGGAAGGAGGTGTCGATGGAGGTAAGGTGTCTGATACTCATTTGCAAAGACCAAAAGCTAAGGATTAAGCAAGAAGGGTCATAGACACCGCACAAATTCTTATCGACTTACAGAGTGGGTGAAGTGAGGTTGAAGTGATGAAGCTATGCAAAAATTATGTGTTGGTGACTGGTCCGACGATGTATCACTCTTTCGACGGTGGAAGTGTCGAATTCACATACCGACTGTGGTTTACCCCCGATTTCTCTTTTCCCTTACTTTTGTCTTGTGTTCGTCTTCCCTATTGGCCGATAAAAAAAAAAAAAAAAAAAAAAAAAAAAAAAAAAAAACAGGTGGAGCCAAAGAATAGAAGGCTAGAAATCAGAATAGAAAACCTACCGGAGGAACAGTGCACTGGTTAGTACGTGATGGCGGTGCTCAATTGGTTCTAAAGAGAAACCCTCACAGAGGGTAAAGGAAAGACAGTGGAAGGATCGGGAAGCAGAGGAAAAAGAACAGAAGGTTTGGATAAGGAACGGTGGAAGGAAGAAACTGGAAGGATCGATTACCTACAAGTGTGGGGATAAAATGACCGGCAAACCGGCACTATTCCTAAAGATGGTCATCTTTAATATATATATATATATATATATATATATATAAGAATTATTGCTTTGTATTTAAATAACACCAAGTATAATTTTGTAATAAGAAAAGTAGATTCCTATTACTTGCATTAAACACTTCATCTGGACCAGATAAAAAGAAGTCGCATCACTCGTTGCAATAGTGAACAAAAAGATATAAAATTATATTTATTAGTTTTGAACTTGAAATCCAACAAGCTACAAAATTTTAGTAGATGATAGATACAACAAAAACATAAAGATTGAAGCTATTACTTATTCTTCATCCACATTGAAGTTGAACCCACCAATCCGATGTCGCCTTTTATCAAAAACAGCTTTGAAAGATTCACGTTCTGCCCGGATACGCTCTTGGAATACATTTTGACCTTTTGACTCAACACCTCCCTTTATGCACTCTTCCTCTGATAATGGGTTTGATTTCTGCAACAATCAATAACTGATTTATTTATTACATTAACATTATTAATGCCAAATTAAAAAATTTGAGGGTTTCAATTAATAATGAATTGTCTAATATACCCTCCAGCAAGATCCATATGAACAACAACAATAACTTACCAAGTTGTAACCTGAACCAGGCCCAATAACTAATGATGCTGTGGTTGCTTTTCCTTTTCTTGTTGCGCTTATTGAGAACCCAACATTTCCACCCTGAACACAAACAACAAAAGTCAAAGGTGTGGTTTCTTTTTGACTTGATACACTTGATTCAATTGCAAAAAGTTATTTATTTATTTATTTGCTTCTATTTTATGAAATATCTTTTAAGCGTCATTTATTAAAATACACACCTGATCACCCCAGCGTACAGATTTACCTTCCTTACTATATCCATATGCTTGAATTAAGCCCGAAAGAGCACCACCATTTTGTGTAGCTTCTTCTTCATGGGACTCATTTCCATCCATATCATTTGACCATTTACTTCTACTCAAATGTTTCACTTCTGGTGTATCATTCTTCTTCTTCTTCACATCATCATCATCTAAGCAACTCACAAAACCATATGTTTATTGTCTCCTTTCAACCAAATGTCTTGTATTATAATTACTAATAATTAAATTATGCATACATACCATCACCATGAGGTGTTAAATCATCCACCTGCTCTTTCATATTCTCATGTGGACTTTTACCATCTATAGCATCATCTTCATCTTCCATATCCATGTCCACCTCTTGAATCCCACCTTCATCAAAACCATCTCCATGGAGTAAACACTGCAAAGTATAATATCAAATCAACTTTTCAATAATTTTTTTTTTTGAGTCCTAGATGATCCATCCATAGATGTTAAAACAAACCTTGACATCCATTTTCAAGTACAATGATGGAGCTTCTTCCCATTGTGTAGCCATCTTCTGTATATCATCCAGGCTAAAGTTATGCACATTCCTAGCCGCACAACCCTATCACAAATCACAAACAGATCCCCTCAGGGAAACATTCTTCCTTATAATAATAATAATCATCATATTTGTGTTTTTATTATGTTTAATATTTTAGTATTCAGAATTAGAAAGGCTTGTTTATGTCATATTTAAACTCACTGCTGGATCCTTGTATGAGGCTTCCACTATGTATACTTCATAACCAGATCTCTGCAATAAAAAACAGGAAACAAATGAATAACAGCAGATAGATGTATAATATTCATGTCACAAACATCACAAATAATGCAAATGGTCTCGATCCTTAATAAAAGTAAATGTTGCAATTTCTTGCAATCTTTACCACCAAACTTGTCACTTAGTCACAAAACAATCAGGGAACCTGGATAACTTTTGGTCAAAAAGCAAGAATTTGTAATATTCAGTGGTCTTGTTTTGCAATTTACAAGTGCAATGGTCACTTTCCAGAGTGGACTGGAGCATGCAATGTTAAAACAGTATAAGTGTTGATTTATAAATAATTAAAAAAAAAAAAAAAAAAAAAAGATCAATTTCGTATATAGGCCCGCTGTCATCACCTTTACAGAAAGATTCCATGGCTGAGCAAATACAGTGTGCATGATAGTTGCCACATTTACATAGGTAACAACAAAGTATGCTTGTGTATACAACTATATAAAATTCCAGATTGCCATCAAAACATAAATAATAATAAGGATCAGACTCCACTCTCCAGATTCTGTTATTTCTTATTGAATTGTTTACTCATGCATTCTATTTATATGTTTTACGAACTCTGTATATTTATGAAACCATAATTGCTCTCGCTAAGCTTAAGGCTTACACATTCCATGTATGCATCTGAGGGAAGATGAAGCAATAGAATAGCATGAAGTAGTTTGAGAGAATATTATTATGATTATTGTCTAATACAACTCCATTACATAGAATCTGTATATTATTATGATTAGTTTGTGGAAACAATAAGGACAACACAGCTAATTAAACATAACAACACAAATGACAAATCTCTCCCCCCAAAAAAAAGAACAGAAGTGATAAATTCCATAGAAAAGTCAAAGCACAGATGTATGAATTACAAAGAATGCTGTATCATCAAAATAATATTTCAGATAGTAGTGAAAATAAAAGATATACGTGTTGATAAATCCAACTATCCAAGGGGAAAACAAGCCTCTATAACAAACTTGAAACACCTGACATAATTATACGATTCAAAACAAAAATAGTACAATTCCAGCTACTCTGCTTGTATTTGGCACAAACCCTAATTTTATTTTGAATTGTCGATGTGTGTCCCAGCCTCCCAGGTGCTGGTACTGATACAGGAGTTTGCTCGAAAATAAAATTATTAATATAAAATCTATACAGCAACTTGATTCACAAATTTAAACCCCTTTAAAATTCTTAAATTGAATGGATTACAGGCTTAAAAGTTTGGTCAAAAATAAAAATGCTAAATGCAAGAAATAACAATGTACGTCTGTTTATTTGTTTATAGCATTATACTTCCAATTTTTTTCTTATTAAAACCTTGTATTTTGAAATTTCTACCTCACGTTAGCATTGTACTTTCAACTTTTTCTTCTTAACTACCGTGAAAATTAATTAGTATTTGGATGACTTCGCTACAATAGGGTTAGAAAACTCAAAGTAAAATGTTGTAATTGGAGTAAATAAAAAAACAAAGAAATAAAAATATGTTGTTTTTTTTCCAATTAACCCAAAAATAAAATGCTAGCTTGCCAATAAGTTTCACAAAATAGATAAATATAGGATGCTCTCTAACGAATCCATAACATCAACATATTTTCATAAACGATTTCCAAGTTTGCATATCTAAAATGAATCCCCTCACATACTTCCCAATAACTTATCAAGACAAATACCTTGAAACTTAAACACATTATGGTATCATTAAAACCTGCAAATAGTAAAGCATCCCTACAGAGAAGGTATGTATGAGTATGAGAGTTGAGAGTTGAGGGTAAGGGTATACCTTAGCAGTTGCCCAAAACTGAGCAAAATCGGCTACCCGCAGATTGCGGTCATCCACTAAGACGAGGCACACATGACATACCAGCAACAAATAAGTCAATTGGCTCAAAAAACAAAACAAACTGCATCGCTGGTTAGTGTAATTGAGCCACTTATTCTACAATCACTCTTACCTATCAAAAGCTAGTCTGATCAATACCATTTTTTTTTATTTTTTAAAGCAGCATTCATTACCAAGATTAGCACTAGACTTCTAAAATGCTAGCATTTCAGTACTAAACCACATAGAGTTTTATAACACAAAAAGCAAGTGGATAAAGGGGAAAACAAGAATACTACTCGCAATACTAAAGGATTGACATCAGATAACAAGATATAAGATAAAGACAAAATATAAACCCTTGTATACTAAATGTTTGGAACTTGTGTCCCAAATAACCATACCAATTATGAAGGAGTAAACCCCCTCATCAAGGGTCTTCTTAAATGCCTTCAGCATGCTTGCTCGATAAGCCTATGCAAATATATATACCAATGTTAGAATTATAGAGCTCTTTTAATAAGGTAAAGTACCAAACCAACTTCAATTCTGGTCCTTATATATGGATAAGTACTTAAAATTACCTCCTCCATTTCAGGTTCATAACAATACTCCATCACAGTCTTCATTACTTGTCTCTTGCCTCTGAGAGAACCAGAAGACTTTGACAACTCACTATCTTCAGCCTATAAAATAGGTACAATACTTAAAATCAGAATGTCGGGTCACTAAAGTTTCTTAAATATAGTATAGAGATATATAAAATATACTAGAAACAAAAGAAAAGAAGTCAACTATAGACCTTTTCAACTTCAGTCATGAAGTACTCATCCATTGAATGAATGCGTGGTGCTTCCCCACCATTTTCAACCTCAATATCACGCAGCACCTTTGCCAAGTAGCTCTTTCCACTACCTGCAAACATTGATGTAAGCTGTGAATCTTAATTGCCTCATGCGGACATCAACACGAACAATAATAGTTATAAAAAGATGTAAACTTGAGATGATTGAAAGACTTGTTTATGATCAAGAAAACTACCTGGAAGTCCACGTAGGATTATCACCAAGTGATCAGGACGAGATACTCGATGTGGCTGCTTAAATATGCGAGAAGCATCAATAACATTTGGCTTCTCTGAAGATATATGCTGCAATGGAAACAGTTGAACATCTCTCAGATGTTTTTCAGATGAAGATTGCCGGGTGTAAAATTCCTAGGAATCACAATGTTGGTTATCAGTGAAAGGAAGGAATGTCACAGTAACATCTGATAGGAAAACACAGACTTCATAAAAAAGAAAAACTTCATTAGTCGTACCTCAACAGAAGAAAGAGTTGAAGCATGGTGACCTGCGTTATTGGCATAATAAACTTGTGTAGATGATTGGTGTTCAGGAATTGCAGAACGTGATGATGATGATGAAGATAACGAATCTGCTGAAGAACTAACACCAATAGGAAACAAAGAGGGCTTTTGTACTGGTGGTGAAGTGAATGGCTCAAAAAAATGATTCCGTGGTGGGTCTATGGGTAGTGGTGGTGGAGGGGAAACAGGAAGAGGAGGTTGGCCACGATAAGCATGAGGAACCTCCACTGGACCAAAGTTTGTCCCAAAAGAACTAGGTTTATTAACATAAAGAGGTGTTGGCAACTGAATCTGAGTTGTTCGCTGCAAATTGTGATGATTCTCTTGTAAAGTTCCAGTAGTTGGATCATGCAATTTCTGATTCAGTTCACTTCTCTGCAAAACAGAATGATACGGAGCTGCTCCTCTATGGTGATCCTGTGTTTGTTCATGTCTTTGATCAAAATGCACATTATTCTTCGCATACACTACTCCATGATCTTCCCTGCTACTTGGAAAGTCACTCATCTCCCGTTTCCGTTTGAATCCGATGTCATCCCTAACTTCACGAGTTTCTCCAAATTTCTCATGTGCATATATATTGCCATTTTCACCATTGGATTCCGAAGTTGAATTTGCGCCTACTTTAGGAAGACCGCCATTGGCAGCATTGCCATGATCATGAATCAACTTCAATATTCTCTCATTGTCAGATGAGGACTTTGATGTATCTGCAATTTCACCACCCATAAAGGATCCTCTAGGACCCTTGTTATTATCAATGGGTTCAATTTTCATTCTCTTGATTCCGCCATTATCATAGCCATCATATCCATAACCAGCAGAGCCAACACCACCCGTATGATGATTACTATAATTTCCATTAACCATAGGAGGATTGACGACGGCATTATACGGACTCATATCTAAGCTAGGGTTACTACCATACCACATAGGTCGTCTACCTACATGCCCATTAATAGGATTATAATCATGATTATAACTTAACGAACTCTGATGATTCGGGAATGGATGGTGGTGATCAAAACGGGGTCGTTGATGATAGTAATCGTTTTGTGGTTGTGAGTAATGGAATCTGGGGTTTTCGATGAATGGGGGAGGAGGGCAAAAAGGGAAGTGAGATGTTGAACAGATTGGGCAGATGTTGGCGTTGTTACCTGGTACTAGTGGCAAAGGCGGAGGACGCCATGAATGATCCATCAGCTTACAGAAAATTATGAGTAATTGGTACCGGCAACGATGAAAATCCCTGGGTTCCAGGAAACAGAAGAAGAGCAAAAGGATGCCTATTTGACAACAGGTTGTGATGACATTAATCGAGCACAAACTTGCCCTTCTCTTGTCAAATTAATTCGGGAGAAACACCATTAGTCTTGCTTTTAGGTTTTTGGGTTTAATTGGTCGCTATGTTAATTTTTGTGCAATCAAGACCTATTAAAAAAACTATTTTCTTCTATATATTGTTCCTATTAAATTTTTTTATCCCGTATCATATTCAATAAATCTAATAAAATTTGAATATATTTTCCACTATTTAATATGGATAGGATGATAATGAAGACAAAATATAGAAAGATATTTAATATATCAAAGAAAAAATGTATTCATAGCAAGTTAATAAGTCATTAAATTTTTTATCCATTTAAATATACGTTTCACATTTAATGAAATTAATAATATTTTAATACACTTGTCACTATTTAATATGGAGATGATAAATACAAACAAAATTTAGAAATATATTTATTTACAAAGAAAAAATATATTAATAGCAAGTTAGTGGGTCATTAATACTTTTACTTGTATGTGGATTAATGAAGTCATCCAGACACCCACATGTCGGGTCGGGTGAATTCAATAATAGACGTTTGTTGGCATTCCAGCATTCCTTCGCCTTTCATGGCCACATATCTTTCTGGCTAAGGAATGTGAAATCCTTATCCTGTTCCATGAATCCAAGCTGTTCGCAAGGGCCAACTTGATCCTCTTCCCCAGGGATCCCCGATAAGGGAAAGAAATACTTTTGTTAATCCTTAGTTGATGTGTAATGTAACATAGTAATTATCTTTTTCAATTGGGAAAGATGGCTGAGTGGACGAAAGCAAGCATATTAATGACGATGAACGCTTTTTTGTTATGCATACGGGTGTTGGGCTTTCAGTAGTACGGGCCTATACTACCTTCCACACCTACCCATATTTGTCTTAACAGATCATAACAAACTACCCGAAAACAAGCTCACAACTAGGATACACATACATCCTATACTTAGTCTCTCGAGAGTGGCTAATCATTCATCAATTGGCCTGTTAAACCCATACCCACTCTTGAAACTTCAAACCAACTTTGCAGCTGCTCGTGTAGGCTAATCATAAATAACGCTAGATTCCATAGACAGTCGAATACTTGATTCTACCCTAAGCCCACAACCAGACAAGGAACAAGAATAAGGCTAAATCAAACATTCTCATGCTATAAAATCTTAGTCATGTACAACTATGATGCACACACGAAGCAACTATAGTAATGATGACAATTTTATTTATCATACAATAAGTTTTTTCCAAGGCTGCCATGTATCTTACATCAGACAGTTCTATCATGCAATTCCTAAAGATTCCTAGTCTATCTCTAGCATGCAATTCTTATTATAATCAAATAACAATGTTGGGAACTTGGAATGTACTTTATTGCTCCGGTTGATCGTACACATCTTGTCCTTTTACTTTTGAAAACAATTTTGAAAAACATTTTGAAAACTTTTATAGATCCTTAGTTTAAGTATGGATGCACATGAATGCTCGTCCAATTCTCTCAAACCAGGGCTCTAATACCAACTTGTAGCATCCCAAAATCCTAATAGTTTTTTTTTTCATTATAAATAAAGAGAAATCATTGTTTTCAATCAACCTGTATCATAAAACCCAAGACCAAATACAAATGTTCCAAAATCAGTGCATCATAATATCTCCAAAACATGTTACCAAAGGATATGTACAATCACGCCTTTGTTTTTCCTCAATCATCTGAAGTACCTTAAACATAAACTTAAACTGTAAGCCAAAGCTTATTGAGTTCTCTCAAATACCACACAATAGAACATGTACAAATAATACATAATGGATCCACAACCTTCTAGTTGGATTAACCCCTTTTGGCCCACAACCTCCCGGTTGGATTGCCCAGGTTTGTTGACTGGCAGCACAAAGCAATACAGCCTCAACCCAACCACACTATGTCGACATGTATAACAAATAAAACACATAACATCAAAGATATAATCATGCATATCTTAACATATCACTACATTATAGCAACATTCTAAACCAGAATACACAATATACTAGGCCGGCATTGGTGCCTTTGACCCACAAGTACAATGAGGAAAACTCACCTTACAGTCTGAAAAGATAGTAAAAACAAATGTTGCTCCAAAAGCCAACTCTACAGGTCACGTATCCAAAAAATAGTGGCCAAACCTCAATCTACAACAAAAAAAATACTCAAAATGCCCCTAGGTCAAACTTGGTCAATGGTTAAAGGTTAAAATATATATTTAAAATCTCACAGCCTGCTGTCACGTCGTGACCTAATGAGACAAAAATAATCGAGGTGACCCATTCTCATGTTGTGAGCGATGAATGCTCACGTCGTGAGAAATGTTCTGAACAACTAGATGCATTAAGCTTTTAACCCTTTTTAGACAAACACCCAAAACTTCCAAAATGTCTTATGTACGCCAGAATATCATAAAAATCATGGCTTTTTGGACATGCATGTCCCAAACGCAAACTAGGACACAAAAGGAAGAAATGGCCTTAGAAGCTCATGCAAGAGTCTTAAAACTCAACCATACTATAGATTTAGCACTTATATTACCCAAGGGACATTGCAAATCCATAAAGTTGGCAACTTTATGGATTCTAAACACTATATCATCTTATATATGAAGGATAAAGCATAAAAATTTAGATCTAAGCTTATAGACTAAAAAATAATGAACTTTGATACTTACAAAGGTCCAGAAGGTGTGTAGATGATTAATGGTGAGACTTGAATGCAAAAATGATGAAGTGGATGCTCTTTCTCTTCTTCTTCTTGGCTAGAATCACCACAAATGAGCTCAAGATCAAATATGGGTGATAGGGTTTAAAAGGGGAAAGTAAGGAGGTGATGGAGGCTGAGGGTGGGCTAACCCTAACCCTCACTTCCTTTAAATACGAAATAAAATCACTAAAATTAGGGTTTCCTCGCAGTCGCGTCTCACGTCGTGACCGACAAGAGCTCACATTATGAGAATCGAAATATATGTGATTCGTCCAACTGAGCTCACGTCATGATACCTCAGTGCTCACAATATGAGAAGGGTTTAATATTAAGAAGTAAAGCCGAAATTCTAAAATGGTGTTTACCTGGAACCGTGTGTTACAATTGGGATTGTTGATAATCTCCAGGGGGTTGTTAATAACCCATAATTGTTTGTTATGATGTTTTGTATGGATATTTTGGAAATGTCTCACTAAGCTTCATGCGTAAAGTTGTGGATTATTGTGTTTCGGGTACTTCGGATGATCGCGGAAAGGAGAAGGCTTGACCGTACACTTCGACTTGCAGATTTTTATGATTCTACATTTTGATACATTGATTGAGATGATTGCATTTGATTCTAGTAAAATTTGGGATGTTACAGACGCTCTTACGCTAAGTTTAGATCAAAGCCCACATTACCCTTCGATTGAGTCCACATCAACTTGCACGTGGTCAAAGTGCACATAAGCCTTTTGAGCCCACATCATCTTTGTGTATACGAAGACCCCTTCAACTTTTGCAAAATCGTTTTTTGGTGTATAATTTCATAGTTCAATGGCTTAAAATGCACAAAAAAAAAAATTTGCTTCCTCCTTTTTATGCCTACAAATATTCCTACACAATCAAATTATGACAAGTGTCATCATTCCATATTTTTTTAACAAACTCATTAAGGCTATATTAGGAGTATATCAAATAAAATTAAATTGAATGGTGATTTGTCAATATTTTATTGGGTATGAATAATTGTAGGCATAAAAAGTAAGAGGTAATTTAATTTCTAAATAAAAATCCAGAGACCATTTAAAACCACAAGCAAGAGTTTGTAGGGTTTTGATGATAATAACCCAACTACTTTTGACGAAATCATCCCCATTTTTACCAAGTTATATTTGGGGTGTTTTAAATAATAACTTTCAAAAAGGATACCCACAAAAAAGGCCTATAATTCATTAATTTGTCATTTTTAACAATTTTATATAAATCCATTTTTATGTTCATTAATGCCCAATAATTGACAAACTTTTGCCATAGATGTCTTTTATCAGGTTAGCTAACCAAGGCCATGGTAGAAGCTTACATGACCATTAAAACCCTTTAACCATGTTCACGTGTCTTCGTTTGGAGACGTTTTGCATTGAGAAGTTCGAAAATATCATTTCTCACCAAATATGTATGTACGCTTGCTTTAATTCTTGAGCAAATGCACACCATCATCACAAAAATAGGGTATTTGAAACATCAAAAGGGTTACAAAGTTGATTAATACAACTGAAGAAAACAATATCTTGGATAATTGGATTTATTGTGTGAATATTGGTGTTCAAAGAGTAAGTTACGTAGACTCCATAATTAATTTTTTACAAAATAAATTATGTTTGTAAAATGTTCAATTTATGTAGGAGATACGGTTGACTGATTGACTTCATCAAAAAATGATTGCAACGACCCATTTTCTTTTATACACGAACCTTTTTCTCTAGGTTGAACGAAATTGACTTTAAGCTTCATGGGATTTACATGTACAATGAACAAGATGACGAAATGGACTTTAAGCTTCATGGGATTTAAGGACATCATCCTCAATATTTTACTCAGTGATAAAAACTTATGACAATCAAGTATGTATGACGAAATTAGAGCACAAATATACCATGCTAACGAAATGGCAAAGTCATAAAAAGGTTGAGAAGGTAGTAAAAATGAAATACATAATGTATGATCCAAGCACCAGATGGAACAACATGCTACCAAAGGTTAATGACATATTTAAGCCACCCGCACTACTTAAATTTTGTTCACAAATTATGTTGTGTTGAACGGTTATGAGATTTACTTTGAGAAATTTGACAAAACGTGGGTTGTTGCAAGATGTTGAAAGATGAATGAGG